TGGTACTCAGTGCAAAACTTGAAAGTTAAACCACCACTACCTCTGTCACTCTTGGGAAAAATGGGAAAACTGGCTGTTTTCCCACTTTTTCCGAACTTTTCGGGGGTTGGACGAGGCTCGGCAGTTGGGACTTGAGGGCCCCTTCGAAAAACAAAAAGAAAAACAAAAGATCATGTTGGGGTCCTGGGGAAGGCCGTGCTTTAAGTAGTACTCACACCAAAACTCACATGTTCGTATCCAGTTTCAGGTTTTCACTGTTTGTGTTTTTTGTTTTCCTTCTTTTTTTTTTTGGGTGCCCTGCCAGGGAGGCACGGCGCAGTCCATGGGCTGCCGACACTTTGTGAAGGAGGGCACGCCCACATTGCAGAATGTATGGTACAACAGGCCCACACTGTGCTTGCCTCCCCCTCTTCTCCACCCCTCTCTCGTGATGGTTTGTTGTTCTGCGTTTTGTGAAAATTTGGCAAAGTGTCCTCTTTTAGGTTAGCTAAATAGTAAAAAATAGTAAGTAGCAAATACTAAATCCTGGCCAATTTTGAAGCACACATTCATCAGAAAGTACAATGCCGTCCAAATACAAAAAGAAATGAGTGAAACTTGAGAAAGAGGGCGGGAAAGAAAGAAGAAAAAGATGATGTACTCCGGCATAGACCAATGATAATGCTCTTCTTCTTCGCCAACCACTCTCCTCCTCCTTATCTCCTCCACTCTTATTGAAACAAGAAATAACAATAATAATGTTGAATGGCTGAACCAGAATCAATGTCCGAATCCCTCTTCTACTGCAGGCACAACATGAGGTCCACTGTAGCCATGGCCACCCTCTTCTACTTCAGGCACAACATGAGGTCCACCGTAGCCATGGCCACCCTTCCTCTTCCTCTTCATGTAGGCCAAGGCTATGGCGGACTACTGAGGGCTCCACCCTCCTGTGCAGAGGACAACCCAAAGCAGCTATGTCGCTGCCCTCCTGTGCAAAGGGCAACACGAAGCAGCTATGCCGCTGCTCATTAAGCCGCCATGCCCGACTCTGCCCCGAGCTTCCTTGGTACGGCACTACCCCAACTGGGGCCTTTCAGATGCAGTGCCTATCAAGGTGATGAAGATAGCGTCCACCATAGCCAGGTAGGTACGTCGCCACTCTCTTCCTCAGTCCTCTTCTCCCTCCTCCTCCTACTGGTAGAGCTCCACCATAGCCGAGGTGGAAGCTCCCGGCCTTCTTCCTCCCAGCAGAGCTGAGTACCCAGCGCTCCTCCATCATGGCCTTCTTCCTCCCAGCAGCGCTGTAGTACCCAGCGCTCCTCCAGCCAGCACTCCAGCAGTGTGTCGCCAAACTTGCACACCGAAGAATGAGAGGCTGGGCTCTTCGCTCAGCCTCAAGATATAGTGGCCTACTTGCCTCGTGGGCGGTGACTTCCAGGCCGCTCGGCCTCCCAAGCAACCGGTACCTCCTCCCTTTCGGAGGGAAACATCGTTGCAGACTCTGATATTGCCCGTACGGGCCCTAGACTCAGACTGGGTGGACTGGTACCCGCCTAGACCTACCTTACCGCTACTGGGCCTTTAAAAATGCCAACTTTGTTTTCTTCTGTTCGGCCTCGAGTACCTGGCACATCTACTTCTACTGGGTGCGGTACCGGCCTACCTGCTACTTGAGTGTTTTTCCGCTCCTGCCATGGGCCTCTGGCTCCGCCACTTGAGTGTTTTCCCCTGCTGCAACCCTCAATGTCACGGCCACAGGTAAGTACTGGCCCTACGGGCCTTCCAAACAAGCAAGTACCCTTGCGGGTCACACACACACTCGTGCCGACAAACACTCAAGACAGGCACGCAGGTCACCAAGCACGCACACACACACAGACTCAGAAAATTCAGCAAAATGCGGGAATCTAGTAAGGCATCCATTCCATCGGCAGAACTTCAGAAATCAGCAGTGTTCTCAGTCTGTGTTATGGCGGGTCATTACAGTAGTAAATACTAAATACCAAATAGTAAATACATGGATCTCTACTCTGGCTGCAAGGGTCAGACCAGCTAAATAAGTCTGCTGGTTACTGTAATGTCACCTTTTTTTTTGCATTTTCTCTTCGTTTTTCCCCTTTTTTTCCCCTTTTTTTCTT